GAGTTATTGATTACATGAACGCTAGAGATGAAAATAGTTTATCAAATAGTGAAAAGAACAAGATAACAAATAATATTATTAAGGAGACTAAAATAATTGTAGGAGAAGGGGAGTCAAATATCAATCTAGAAGAGTTTAAAAAACTTTCTAAGAATTGTATAATTAGTTAATTTGCAATAATTAGTCGTATCGACATTTTTTTTACTTGATGCAGTCTACTATCAGAATAAATATTAGAATTCAAACTAAAAAAAAAAATATTTTTGAACCAAATATGATATTAATTATGATTTCGTATTGTATTGATTGAGTTCGAATGATTTATTTAAATCTGTAGTTAATTATTTATATTACTCGTTTAGTAATAAGTCAGAGAAGAATGTCACCATTTTGAGTGTCTAGAATAGAGTGTCCAGAATTCTGCAATGCATAAATCTACTTGGTCTAAAAATTATTTTTTTGTATTGTATTTTCTTCGAATGATTTATATTATCTGTTCAATGTTCGGTTTGTATCCAATGTGATAACGGATTCTAGTTATTCTGTTGTTAAAATTCTAAAAAATAATAATGATGTAGATATTATTTACGTCAACAAGGCTCTTTTAAGCAATTCAATAAGAAATTCAATTTACGTTTTTCGTTGTTATCTATAACATATTTTCATATATATTTAGGACAGTTATGATTATATCCAAAGAGTTCTACTAACTATGATAATGCTATAATGCATGTTTTTATTACATAAACATTAAAAATATGTCTTTTACGTTCAAGTTCTTTTCGAATTTCAATCAATTCAACATATTATATTAATTTTTTTGTCACCAAAAAAAAATTTTCAAATAAAAGCAATTAAAAAGAAATTAAAAGTTAATTTTTAGAATACATTCATATTAGTATATATATACTTTTACTAAAGCCAAGATATATCGAACAATTCCTTTGATTTGTATTGTTAAAATTAAAATTCTCTTTTAATAAGTTGTTCAATACTGCATTTTAAAAAATGAAAGCTAAAATTAAATTAAATATGTAACCTTTTTTTAATAAAACAAGAATAAAAATGGTTGGCATTTGAATATACGAACTTTTAATAATAATGGAAGAGACTTTGAAGTCTCATGAATCAAATAAAATTGAAGGAGACAAAGAATTCGTAAATAAAGGATTTCTCAAGTACTTGAAAAGCTTAAAGAAACTGATTCAAATTATGCAACAAAACCTCTTGAGATATCTTTTAACTGGAACAAAATAGCCACTGGCATAAAGGATATCAAAGGAGGAATCGAAACTGATATCGATATAAGTCCGGAGCATAATTTAAAGTAGATGATCAACATCACGTGAGTGGACAGACAGGAAATTCAAAGTTACTTTCTTGATTTTTTTAAATAAAATAATCAAAAACATAACTTTTGTATCACCAAGCGTAGAAATTGAGTCTCCGGACAAATATACTGTAGATATTAATATCATACAGTCAAACCTCGGGAACCGATGTGCATGGTAGACAGGCTTTGTATCGGTATTGAGAAACTACGTGCCAGATTTGAAAACATTATAAGCTATTAATTTTTTATCAGATTTGACAGGATCGGTTTTGAGAGTTCAACTGTAGTTCCTTACATCAATATCGTACAATTTGAAATTATCACTTTGCACTCTCTACAGTAGGGCTGTGGAAAATGCACATCTGAAAGGTTATGTCAATATTTCACTTTCTTTTCTTTTTTCTTCTTTCGCAAGTGTTCAGATTCTATATCGGCTGATCCAGAATAGTTATTTACCATTTTCTTTTTAGGAGTTTGTTCACTTGCAAAATTAATTTTTTACAGATCTTAAAAATTGTCGTGTTTTGCAATAGAACTGCCGATGCAAAATGCTCTTCTCTTTCTATTTACCATTAGAATGCCTTTTTGAAATTTTTAAATACCTTGATCATAATATCTTATTTACCTGTCTTCTTGTGAATCATGAATGGTGTGGATTTATTTTGCCAATATTATGGTGTAACCCTAATTTTGAATGCTCTAAAATTATTAGAACGTTACTTCTAAGATTAAATGCAAACGAAAGAGCATTAATCGCTTCTCAAAATATAATCCCTCAAGATGCTCCAAGTTTACTTTTCAATTATTCAAGCCACATAGTTACCGTTTCCAGCGATGATTTAAACAATGGAATTAATAATTGGCTTAAATATATAAAAAAAGCAAAGAAACCTTCCTCTACAATTATAATTCCTTTGATATTGATGATTTTACGAACTAGTAAAAAAACTTAGAAATTTAGATCTTGACGGAATTTCATACGATCATAATGATAGACATGATGAATTAAAGAATTTATTATCAGATGCTCTCTGCCAAAATGATACTCTAACTTCCTTAAAAGTTGTGAATCATTGCTTTGACTCTGAAAGATGGAAGATATTGGCAGATGCTCTTGGGAAAAATTCTACTTTAATTTCATTATATCTTTCGAATAATCAACTTGGCGACGAAGGAGGAAAAGCGGTTGCGAATGCTCTTAGCAAAAATAACACCTTGACCTCATTAACTCTTTTAAATAATAAACTTACTCCTGAAGGTAGAGAATCGTTTGCTGAAGCTCTTAATAAAAATATCACATTAAATTATTTGAACCTTTCAAATAATTATTTGGGCTCGGAAGGTGGAAAAGCTTTAGCAGAAGCTCTTTACAGCAATAACAAATTAACTTCCTTGCACCTTGCAGGTATTCAGCTCGATCTTGAAGGAGGGAAAGCACTAGCAAAGGCTCTAGATGAAAACACAACTTTGACCTCCTTAAATATTCGCAATAATAAACTTGGACACGAAGGAGGAAAGAATTTGGCTTATGTTCTTTGCATAAACAAAACTTTAACCTCCTTAGATATTTCAAGTAATTTGATTCTCGCTGAAGGGGTGAAAGCGTTATCAGATGCTCTTATTAAAAATGGCACTTTAACTTCATTAAATCTTAAAAAGAATCGTATTGATCTTGATGGAGTAAAAGCATTATCAAATGTTCTTCACAATAACCGCTCGTTGACTTTTCTAGATATTTCAGATAATAAACTTTCTTCTGAAGGGATAAAAGCATTGGCTGAAGCTCTTTATATAAACTGTGCGTTAACTTCATTGTATCTTGAAAATACCGGATTTGTTCCTGAGGATGGGGAAGTGTTTGCAGAGGTTCTTCGCAAAAATAACACTTTAACTTCTTTATCCATTTCACATAATAAGCTTGGTCATGAGGGAGGAAAAGCGCTAGCAAGTGCTCTTTGTGAAAATAACACATTGACTTACTTAGATCTTTCATTTAACAAGTTTGGTAGTAGAATAGAAAATTCATTTTCAGACGCTCTTTTCAAAAACAATGCTTTAACTTATTTAGATATCTCAGGCAATCAAATTTCTGACGAGATAATAGATGAATTAAGAAAGCCTTTTGATACAAAAGCAGACATGACTATTATATCATAGATTTGGGATTAGTAGTGACAAAATAATTAATAATCTATAATCTATCTATCTATATTATAAATATATATATATATATTATTAAAATTCTAAACTCCATTCAATAGCCATATCTACAATTTTATTTCGTTCGCTTACAAATTTAACATTAGTCAACATTAATATAAGCAGGTTAATAATAATTCTAATTTGGGTTAAATATGCAGCTAGTAAAATAGGAATGACTACAAGGAAAATAAGTTAATACCACTTCTTAAATTTTTTTTTTTTTAGTTTATAAAAAGATTTTTTAAAGAGTTAATATTGAATGAACCAGAAGAGGTTTTTTTCGATTTTTAACGGCTGCCCAGTGCGTCGGGTAGGGATGGTACGATCCTCAGAGACCATGGTCCGGATCGGTCTTTTGGACCAGTCCATAAATTGAGACGGTCTGGATCGGTTCACACCTTATAGAATGATCTCGTTGGCTAAAAAAAAAAAAAAAATTGCCGATGACTGAATCAATTTCGGTAACTTATTGATTTTGATTCGGCAACTTGCGATTCGGTCATTGGCAATTTTTTTCAGTTGTTCCATGATTTATTATAATAGCTATAACGATAAATCAAAAATCTGAAATAAGTGTTACCGAAATATTAGATAGTTTTATAAAAACGACAAAGATTCATATGTTAAACGATGTTAATATGGTATGTGACAAACCAAAAAAATTTAAAAATTTCGTATATATATCTAACTTGGTAAGGCCAACATCGATTAACATAGTAAGCTTTGTCTTTTTATATGTAGCGATCATTAAAACCAAATGGCTTATTTTGAAACCAGTCAATAAACCGTAACATCCCTAGCGTCGGAAGAGCGTCGAGTATAATGTTGTTAGTCGATATACCCTATTAAGTCAAATATTTAGACAATTCTGTGTCTAAACATATTTCGACATGACATTATTTTTTGTCGAAATCAAAATTCTAGTTGACTAAATAAATACTATATGACTAAAAATTAATGGTAGAGAGAGCTTGTACATTAAATCCCGATTCAAGTTATAAACATTTAACATGGTGAGTACTGTTTGAAAAAAAGCACACATAGCATGTGGGAAAATTTCGAGCTTATATCGTTTAGTATAATTAAACCCGCTTGATAGAGGTTTGCGTAAAATTTTAATTTTAGTTAGTGTCATTATTCTATGTAGTTCTTATTTTGGTATAGTTTGTGGCATAGCCGTGTTACTATCGAAATTTTGGGAGAGCGTCAGTAAGTGGCCGAGTTAGATCAGCGATAGTGAATGAAAGAATAAATTAATGTAAGATAGGGACAACAATAGGTGAATGTTTAAAAAGTGTATATACTAATTATGTAAGCTCACGGACATCAATGTTCTCGAATGTCTGTGATGTAATATAGTTGTAATAATTATATGATATAATAAATAAATATAGATGATCGTGAAGATGTATTCACGATAGAGATATTGTGATGTATAATACTAACAATACCGTGAATATAGTTTGTGGTAGAATTAATTTGGCGAATTAATACGGCAACGGCATGTGCCGTATTATTTGCCGTAATTCTGTAGTGCCGTAGTGCCGTAATGCCATAGTGTTGAAATACTGTAATGCAGTAAACATATCGGCGAACTTTCGGAATTGGGGTTGTAAAAATGCATCCTCAATTTCAGTTACTAA